GGCACCTTCATGAGTGCTTTCCCTAGTCTGCCCAGCACCACCCCCCTCTCACCAGAGCCTTTGTAAGGGTGTGACCTTGAAATTGAGACTCCTTGTCTTCCCCTCTCCAAGTCAGTGTAGGCCCTTCCTCTCCAACATGCCGGTGACTTGGACTGCGTGAAGCAGCTGGGGGGCTTTTATCCCCGCCATTTGCAGTCGCTGTAGGCTACCTGGCCCTGGGTGGAACTCTGGCCTGTGAATGTGAACCTCTGTCGGGACCTTCCCTCCCTTTCATCACTGGGAGGACAGAACGGGGCAGGCAGAGGTCAGTAGAGCCTGCCTTCTCAAAACAACTGTCCCCCAGGTGTGCCTGCCTTGATATGTGGGCCTCTGTCACCTCCCCTGTGCCTTTCACGATTCTGTCCAGGCCTCCTGAATGTGCTTTCCATGTCAGGGACGCCTGACACTCGCCACACATCCTTAAGCTTCATCCAGTTTTTCTTCCAAGGCTAGAAAGTCCCAAGCACTGGCTGGTGGCCACACAGAGGGGCGTCCTTGGTGGCTATTCATGTCCATCTTCTTTTGGTCATTGCTTACTGACTGGGAAGAATTCTGCTTAGAGTGGTGCTCTTTGTTTTACTCAACCCAGCAATATGAAACTGGCTGGGTTTTTTCACTTTTTGTTTTTGTTTGTTATTGTTTTGTTTAGAGACTATGGAGGACAAAATATTGGCTCTGCTGCCCTCTGGTGGCTGAGTCCCTATCCCACCTTCTCCCCAGATCTCAAGCACTGGGTTTCTGCAAAGTCCTCTCTGACCTGTGTGTGTTTGCTCTCCTCCTCATTGCTTTACAATGATTTGGGGTTGGTTAGGGTAGGTTTTCAAGTTACCAGTAACTTCCCTTTATTTCCTTTAAAGAACTGAACAATTTCAAATCAGAAGCACCTTAAAAGGTCCAGTTAGTATCATAGGTGTAGGTGGAAAATGGATTGCTGCGTGTCAAAACAGTCACACTCTGTCACTTGAAACTTTTGTACTCAACACTGCCAAAAGATTAAGGGTGTCAGAGGTGATGTGCCTCTGGACACGAACATTATCTCCCGCTCCCAGGAGAAATACGACAGGTGTCTGTCTTAAGGATCATACTACCAAGTAAAGTTGAATTAAAATGAGTAAGTCATGGCAGTTCCCTGTTTTCTTTTTGAGATGATAAGTAGCTTATTTACTCCCCAAATAGCATCACAACCTTGGACTTCATTAAACAAGAGAACAAGGCAGGTTGCATTTATTGGGGGGTCCTGCTAGAGACGTGGTGCAGATACATAGGGAATATTTTCTTTGACACAGAGCTCTGCTACTCATGATGGGTCCACGCAGCAGAGACCATACACCAACCTTCCATAGAACTCCATAGAACTAGCAGCTCCCCCTTTCTAATCTAAGCTCACCAGAACATGCTTGCCCGGTCCTATTCACGCATCTCCTCTCCTGCACTCTCTGGAAGCCCTCTGCAGTCTGCCATTCTCTTCTCTGTCTTTCCCCTGTGCACTGGCATCCCACTGGGTCATTTCCCATCCTGTCTTCAAAGTGCCTTTGAACTTAAACCCTTTCCAAATCTGTAGACATTGTTTTTGGACCATTTCGTGGATTTGACTTTCTTTGGAGAATTGCTTCAAATCTTGCCTCCCAGCATTGGGAATCTACCCTTTAACCTCAGATGCTCCTTGCTTACCTCTTCCCTATCAGGGGCACCTGCCCTACCCCTCTTCACCAGGGAAGTGCTGGCAGTGGGCGTGGCCACCGGATTTCATTGCAAGCACAGGGGCTCTGAGGAACTTGTCAAGGGGCCTCTCAACCAATCCTAGAGGAGTACCCTGCTTTTATCAGTTTTAAAAAAACAGGCTTCTAAGATAGTTTTGTGGGGAGAAATAAATCTGTGGCATTAAAAAAAAAATCGTAACTTTTTTCTTGAAACGTTTAAAAAGTTTTTTTAAAAACAGACAAGATGATCTAATATTCCTTTTCAAAGCTCTCAAACATTCAGCAGTCCCTTCTCCCCCATCTCTGCCAGTCCCTCAGACCTCTCCGTGGGTGGGCAGACAGTAAGTAACACTTTACAGGCAGTATTTCTCCCTGGGCTCCAGTCATCCTGCTTCTAATGGGTCTTGGGCAGCTGTCCCAGGCCAGATAAGTCACATTAAAGCTGAGAACAAAACCAAAGGCTTGGGTTTCTTTTTAAATGAGGAGCAGGGAAAATGTGCCACTTGAAGCTCTCAAATGGTCTGGGTTCCTGGAAACTGCTGATGTGTTTTGGAAAGATGTCTTAAATCATCACGCTCTTAGGTTCATCCTAGTCTGGGGAACTCTGGGACAGTTTTCTGCTTTGTTTTGATAGGAGGTTTTTCTAAATAGTGGTATTCATTTGCCTGCACTGGTGTCAGGCTGAGGAATTAGAGGGGAGAGAAAATTAGTATTTATCTAGATTACTCGGAGCTTCAGGGTCTAGATGTAGATTAGCTGGAGAACCCTGAGGGCAAGCCCGAGTGTCCCCATTCTGCATACGAGTGCCTTCCAGAAGGCAGTGTCACATTCCACACAGCTGGAATGATGGGAAGCCAGGGCTCAAACCAGGTCTGGCCAATGAGGGTATTTTCCATGTGCTGCAGAGAACATAGAGATTTAAAGAAAAGCTCCTTTTGGGAAATTCCCCCTTGGGACCAGTGACTTTCATAAATAGGGTACCACTGAATTTATCTTCAAAATGTGAACACTTTCAGAACAACGCTAACGTGGATGGAAAGCAAGGACATCAGACACAATGATTCTGTCCTGGGGACACTAGCGCACCATCTTATTGATTTGTATTTCTGATGCTTACTGGCTCTAGAAAGACAGCCCCTGTTAGGGCTAGCCACTCCCCGAAGATAGTAAGTGACTCTTTTCCAGAGCACTTTCATATACAAACCAACTGATCCAGAGCCCAAGCCCGCCACCTCCTCCATCAGCTTTAACACTCGGAGCACCATGTACCTGCCTTTATCACCGCAGGACAGGTACCAGATAATGAGGGACAACACCTATGCCCCCTAGCCCATTGAAAAATTTCAAAGTAGCTAGGCCTGCTTACCCAACTTTGTCCAATCTAAAAAAAAAAAAAAAAAAATTAAGGTTCTTACCCATGTTTCCTCTTACTTCCTCTGCATCCTTACTGCCCCTGTGTATTATGCACCCTTCTCCTGGAAACTGTGAGCAACAAACTAGTTTTCAACCATGGTTGCATCCTAATCCATTGGCTTCACCATACCTAATCAATAATAAACCTGCATGTTTAAAACAGAGGTCATCCCCTCCAAAAGCCATCTGCCTCTTCTTCTTCTTGCAGAGGGTCTTAAAGAGCAGTCAAAGGCACTGGCCACTCCAACAGAGTTTCATTCTCACCAAGAACCACAAACAGCCAGCTTGGTCCTCAGTAAGGGTCAAGTGAAGCAGAGGGAAGGGACAGTTGTTTAGATGATTTGCTGGTAGAAAGTTCTTATAGTATCATCCGTGCCAGCAACTGAGCAAAGCAACACTACACTAAATTAAATGGACAAATGAACTAAACAGACACTTCTCCAAAGAAGAAATATAAATGGTCAACAAATACATGAAAAGATGTTCAACATCTAGCCATTAGGGACATAAAAATCAAAACTACACTAAAACTTCACCTCACTCCAGTTAGAATGGCAGCCATCAGAAATACAAACAATTACAAATGCTGGAGGAGATGTGTTAAAAAGGAACATGTTTACACTGTTGGTGGGATTGCAAATTAGTATGACCACTATGGAAATCAATATGGAAGTTCCTCGAAAAACTAGGAATGAAACCACCAAATGACGTAGCTATAGCAGTCCTTGCTATTTGTCCTAAACAATTAAAGTCATTATACCACAGCATTACATGTTTATCCATGTTTACAGCAACACAATTCACAATAGTCACATTATGGAACCAGTCTAGGTATCTGTCAATAGATAAATAGATAATGTGGCATATGGATAATAAAGAAAACACACTATATATACTCAATGGAGTTCTACTCAGCCATAAAGAAGAATGAAATTATGTCATTTGCAGGAAAATGGATGGAACTTGAAAGCATTATGTTAAGTGAAAAAAGGCCAAACTCAAAAGGCCAAAGGTCAGGTTTTCTCTCATGTGGAAGCTAGAGAAAAAAAGGGGAAAAAAGTGAAGAAATATCATGAAAAATAGAAGAGAAACCAGTAGAGTAGAGAAAAAGGTCAGGTTTGGGGGCAGGGGGAGGAAGGAAAGGAGAGATACTAGAGAATGAAATTGACCAAATTATAATGTTATATTGTGTGCATGTACAAATATATAATGATGAATTTCACTATTATGAATGATTATAATGCACCAATAAAAAAGAAAATACATGAATAAATAAATTATGGAAACAAAACCACAATCAACAACAGCTCTTTGGCAGCCATTAGCTCCTGCAATAATCATCCTAGTGTCTGTGAGTGTCTACAGTAGTTTTGGAGAAATAACTTGATTAAAAATATACAAATTGAATTTACTATGCTCAACTGCAAAAATATATATATATATACACATATATACATATCATATATGTATATATGCCTTTAAGGAGCTTTTAAAAGTGAAGATATTAGATGTATAAAAATGGAATATTCATAGTTAAAAGACATCCCCCCAAAAAATGCTGGCACATATCCCTCCATGACATCCCTGTGAGTGATTAATCTAGAAATGTGTTTGCAAAAGTTCTTGTTTGTTTCAAAGTTAGGAAACAAATGTGTTTCCCTGCGAGAACAAAGTCCATAAATATTTTATGTAAGTGAGAGAAGTGAATTGAATTCATCCCAAGAACATTTGTCACCCACAGTGAGGACCAGAAATCCACTCTGCCCACATCAGCCTCACAGTGTTTGCCCGGAAGGTGTTTGGAGGCCTAGTGTTAATGACATGCTCTCCGTTTTATATCTTACTCACCCTTTAGCCAGTGTTGCTATGCCAACGTCAGTTAACTTCATTCCTACACCTATGGGAAGAGAGAGCAAGGACAGTTTGAGTTACTCAGGGATACTCAGAAAGGATCAGGGATCCACTCAGGGAAGGAGTAGAGAGCTCCAATGTCACCTCCCTTCCTGCAGAAATGCACACATTCCTCCTGGTTTCCACCTCCAGAGGCCCAGAGACTGACAGCCTTTCGACATGCACCCCACCTCAGGGGGTGAAATGGGAAAGGCAGACCCCTGATGCGTCAGTGCCTGTGACTCAAGTTTTGCCTGGCTCATCTCGCCCCTGGGATGGAGGAGGCTCAGCTGCTCTCTGATGCATCTGAAGTCTGTCTCTTTCCGTGAGCCTCCTCCCCAGAATTACTCTGACTTGGGCTTCCTTCTGGTTCCTAATTCCTCATTGAAAGTGGAAACCCTTACACAACAGAAGGACAAACAGTCATGGGCTGTGGTGGTCAAAGTCAACAGTGAGAAAATTCAAGGTGACATCTGCTTAGCTCAAAGCCAAACCATGTTCCCATTTCCAAGAACATGGTTTCCCATCCACAGCTGAAGATTGTCTGGATTGGCTTTAGGCCCAGAGTTCTAGTCTTTTAAATAGTGGCCTGGGCATGCTGACATTTGGGATCCATGGTCTGCCCCTTTGGCACTTGCCCTAACCTCTATTCATTGAACTGTGGTTGGTTGGCAGGGAGGGTACCAAACCCCAAACTATAAAACAGCTACCTGAGCTACCAGCTCAGCAGAGAGCCATAGGTGTTTATGGTAGAATCCCAAACACACAACAGGGGCAGCTGGAAGAGTACCCAATAATGCAAGGAGGATGGACAATCTATTGCCTTCCACCGTGAGGAGGGCAAGAGCCCGACTTTCTGCAGCAGAAGAATCACCTGTTATGGTTTAGGTATGAGGTGTCTTTTGTGCTCGTTTGTGAGACAATGCAAGAATTTTCAGAAGTGAAATAATTAGATTATGAGACCTAATCAGTGGATTAATCCACTGGTATAAATGAAGTGGGTATGGCTGGAGGAAGTAGGTCATAGAGGGCATGTCTCTGGGGTTTATATTTTGAGCCGAGCTTCTCTCTGCCTCCTGGTTATTCTGTCCTGTGCTGCTTTTCTCTGCCAGGCCCTTCTGCTAGGATATTCTGCCTCCCTTCAGGGCCCAGAGCCGTGGAGTCAGCGGACCCTGGACTGAACCTTTGAAACTATGGGCCAAAAGAGACTTTTCCCCTCACGTTGTTCTGTCAGGCCTTTTGGTCACCGACTCTCAATATCTGACTGAAGCACCCCCCTTGCTCACTCTGCCCCACCTCATCCTGCATCTGTTACCTCTCCCTGTTCTAGCAGGAAGAAAAGACACCTCTCTGATGCTCAGAGTGTGGAAGCACTGGGGCCTTTCTAGCATATTTCCCCTCTAACCAAGTACCCATTCTTTTCCTGTCTTTCCAGGGTGGCTCCTGCCCCAACCCAGTGGACCCCACCTATGTGATATAGTTTTATCACAGGGCATAGCATCCAAAATGCCACCCTACCAGCATCTGATCTGCTGGATGACAGGCGGGGGTCTTCTCCTCTCCTCTCTCACCTCTGACTCTGGTTCTATATGGGCCAGGCTCTAAGGACCAGTCTTCCACCACCAGCTGATGACCTGGCCACAAGAAGGCCAGCAGCCTAGAAACCAGTCTGGCATGTGCAAGAAGGAACAAGTGTCTCCCACAAAGCCAACCCTGAGGATCGTATCTGATGACAATCTAGTTCTAGGGTTCTCCATCCCAGAGGCCCAGGAAAGGAAAGTTTGAAGGGTAAACGCTCTGATTCGGCAGTGTCTGCTTGAAGCACGTCAAACCATGGGACATGCTGCTTTTCAGACTGGTTAGTCAGACAGAAGCAATGAGCCGGGCTTTTCTGGAGTGCACCTGTGAGCTAAATTAGACATGGCACTTTGGGGGTGCCAGCGAGCATTTTAAAAGCCTCTTTCACAGTTGGTAACTAATTCATCTCATTTTCTGAAAGCTGCTAACCACTTAAACATATGTAAAAATACTCAACATGCTTTTATTATGGGGACTGTTTTTTTTTTTTTTAAGATATCAAATTGCAAAAGCTCTCTTTGGCCATCTTGTTTCATGGAAAGTATACTTAAAAATCACAGCTCTAAGTTGCACAAAAGTCTAATTTTTAAAGTCATTTGGCAAAAGGTCCTTGAACTTGGAGAATTGTTCTCCCTTGCTTCTCACTATTACCAACTGTCATTTTCAGTTTAGAAAAATAGAATATAATCTTTGAAAAGAAACTTCTCTCTCTGGGTTTAATAATTTGTCAGCAATTCAATCAAGGTTATTAACAATCACTAGAGAACAATGAATTAAATTCCAGTGTGCAGCTATTAAACTGAGCTGTGGATAATAGTGACCCACAGGTTGTTTCTGGTGGAAGGAAGGAAGTTGGCAGCACCAGGAGTCTATTATCCAGAATTTGAGTTCTTGGGTCTTTCTGGCTCCTCAGAAGGCCTAATGATCTTACCAGTGAGCCAGGTCTTGGTTCCAAATCACAGACCCACTTTAACCCCACAAACCTGCAGGCCCCAGCACAATCCTATAAACAAATCAATGCACCAAGGGATGGAATAACTTTTAAGAGTTCAAGAAGAGGATGATTGATTTTGGGGTTTGCTTTAATTCTAGTTCCAATATCCCAGTAAAATTATAAGAAGGGGGAGATATTACTTAGAGAATGGATGTGTTATTTCATGCCACATTGGTAGTGACAATAAAAACATTTTTTTCCCAGCAGCAAAGTAAGTAGACACCATTATGAAATTCCATGCCAGCACATTTAATTGCACACATCATTTACAGAGAGATGTAATATTTCACTATAGTTGTTTACTAGTGCCTAAAAGCAAAACTAGCTGTGCATGAAGCTCCAGGGCATTGTTTTTCAGTAGACAAACTCTATTTAATGCAAAATAAACTCTGAAGGAGGAAAGATGGTGGGGGGTTGGGGAGGCAACAACTATACCAACAGAGTCTAACTAGCATGAATAACCGTTAAGACAATGTTTCTGGTGTGTGAGCGTGTGGCAGCCAACGCTCTTCAAAGACTGAATGGTTATGGCTTACCATAAATTTGCATATCTGCCCATCTGCAGGACAGTAATGTTGCAGTCCTAGTTGGTCTGCAAGGAGTCTCCAAGTGGGCTTAGGGGGACAAAGGACAGTGTACATGCTGCTACCTTCTAACATCAGAAGACACTTGGAAAGATTGGGAAGTAAATCTCTTGCAAATTTGTTCATTTGTGGTGTAGTGGGAAAGCTTGCAATTCAGAGTCAGAGAATATGGGTTGGAATCTTGGACCGACTTATTAGCAGAGTGGCAGCAATTAAATCACTGCTTCCCAGCCTCAGTTTTCTCATCTATAAAATTGGGATCATGGTATCTTCTTTGTAAGATTATTATAAAGATTAAGTGTATGTAGAAATCAGTGAAATCCAAGTCAAGTCTATAGTCTAGTTAATTATGCTGTGCCAAAGGCAGTCTCCTGATTCTACAGACAATGTGCTATAGTCATGTTAGATGTTGTCGTTAGACAAAGCCGGATGAAAGGTACATGGGGATCTATATATATTGCAAATTTTTGTGAATCTATAATTATTTCAAAAATAGGGAATATTTTGCTATGTGGCCATGCTGCAATAAACATTTCAGTATCTCACTCAATCCTCACAACAACCTCACCTGGAAATACTGAAACAGAGAAGTGAGTCATTGACCAAAGGCTGACAGCTAGGAAGTGGCAGGAAGGACACGTGTAGACAATCCTGTTCTCACTCTAGCCACTTCTGAACACCATGGTTCCATGGGCAGTGCCACCACCAGCATTTCTTTGCCCAAGAACTATCTCTGCCCACTCTTTGCCCAGCTTGGCTTGCCCAAATGTCAGGCGGGTGTGCAAACAGTTAAGGTCCCTATGAGGGGCAGCCTTCAGCTGGTGCAGTGGGAGCTGGAGGATAAACACTGGGTGGTTCTGGGAAGTGCACTCTGCACAGGCTCCTGGCAGAGCGACTCCCGTTACCCACGGCAGTAACTGGCTGTGTATCCATGTGCCCTGTCAGCTGCCCATCCCTCTTTAGTCTCACTTCCTCACTCCTCTGTGTTGTTTCCAGGGACATCCCCCCACCAATGGCTATTTGTACTCAAATACAATGGCCTTCAGGTCCTTCCTCTGCATCTGTAGCTTCCTCATCTTCAAATTCAACAGAAAATATTCCTCCAAAACTGAACCTCTATTGAATATGTACAAAGGGGGTTTGTTTGTTTGTTTGTTTGTTTGGTCATTATTCCCTAAACAATACAGAATTACTGTTTACATAGCATTTACATTGTATCGGGTACTACACTCTAAAGATGGTTTCAAACATGCAGGAGAATATGTGTAGCTTATGTGTAGAATATGTGTAAACATGCAGGAGAATATGTGTAGCAAACACTATGCCATTTTAAGTCAGGGGCTTAAGCATCCCCAGACTTGGGTATCCATTAGGGGTCCCAGAACCAATCCCCTGTATTACTAAGGGATGACAGTACTTTCCTTGCTCTGTTCCTGGTGAACCCTAATTATGACAACCCCTTTTCTTAAAGAAATGGTATTCCTAAAAATGTGTGTATACATTGAAAGCCTGCCTTAAATTCACCAGGGGGGGGGGGACATAAGATCTGAAGCATTGTAAGGCCCTTTCACATATTAAGAATGGAATGTCACATCTCAATTTATCTTTTCCTGCATCTGGATTTTCATATGTACTTCTGAGTTTGCACCTATTGAGGATATAACAATGAAGCCAATCTCTTTTGAGGTGGGAAAGCATTATGGGCATGAATATTAAAGAGAACTTCATGATCGCATTCAGCAGGCCATTTCGGGGCTCCGGGGTCAAACTGTGTTTCTGATGAGATATTAGGAACACCTTCTTTGGGTAAAGGTGCCTCAGGGTGTGCAGCAGACCCTCTTTCCCCTTCCCTTCCCTCCTTTCCTCATTCCTCCCCCTTAGGAGCATCCCAGACCCGCAGGGTCCCTGCAGCCAGGCAAGCCACGGTCCTCACCCTGCATGTCCGTGACCAGGAGGCAGCCGCTGGTTTTCTGGTACACCCAGTGCTGGAAGGTACAACACTTCTGACCAGCCTCCGTTTCTCTTCTCAAGAAGTTTATTTCCTTCCCATCTCTGATGGAATACTTCACAAATTCTCCAATCAGCTCCTCTTCCACTGTTGCATAAGGGATGTTGTTCTCAGGCCGATGGATGAGAAAAATCGGAATGATCCTGCAAGGCAGCAGAACATGGACACACATCGAATTTCAGATGGAAAGAAAAACTGCTGGGCCATTCTATGCCCACGTGGAGCAGTGGGAGCTGCACAATCAACCCCTGGGTTCTGGGTTCCATTAGATTTGGTTGTTTGGGTACCGAGGATGGAAAATGGACCTTGCACATACTAGGCAAAAGTTCTACCACTGAGCTACACTCCAGCCCTATCCATTAGATTTAGACTAAAAAAAAAAAAAAAAATCCCCCAATTATTACTTAATGATAAAGAAAATGCATTTGTGTTTTTATTTATTTCTAGAATTAGAAATTCCTCCTTAGGTTTTATTTCAATTGCTCATGTAGAAATGAATGTCTTCATATATTAATACCTTAATGTTGTGTTAGTCAAGGATTATAATCCATCTATCCATCCACCACCTCCCCACCCATCCTACCTCCCCTCCACCCACCCATCTGTGCATCCTCCTTTCCTTCCATTCAGTCCACAAATGTTCATTCAGGAGCTTCCGTGTCAGACACTCTTCCAGACACTTCCACAAGCAGCAGTAAAGGAAACAGAGGCTCTGCTCTTGTGGATCTCACATTGAATGAGAGAGACAGACAAGAAACAAGTAAAAGCTCACAGCTGAGTGTTGGGTGGAAATAGTAAGGGGCGGAGAGGAGACACACGGGTGGGAAAGGGTGACATTTTATTTAAGGGGCATCAGAGGAGTCCTTGTTGATGAATAAAGAGCATTTGAGGAGAGACCTGTGGGAAGTGAGTGGAGAACCATAAGGAATTCTAAGGCAAGATCATTCCAGGGGAAGGAAAGAATTAGTTCTAATTTTAAGATGAAAGTTCTGTGTGTCTTGTTAAAGAAATTTCAGGTGTTTCAGCTGAGGACAGAAGGCCAGATGGAAGCGGGCACATTTGGGGCAGTAGCCCTGCCCCCTCTCACTGCAATCAGCCTGGCTGCCCAGGCTTCCTCAGCTGTGCTTGTCAATTTTGCAGGATTCAGGGGACGCTCTGAGGAACCCCTCTGCCAGTGACCCTGTACCAAGCACAAAGGTTCAAGGTTTGTCTGGGTTCTTATTAATCATGCAGCCCTGGCAGGGTGTGGGGACAGGGACAGAAACAAAGGTTGGGCATTATTCGGGTTCTTTATTAGCCTGGTCTCTGCCCAGTGGGACCCATTTGCATAGACAATGTGATGCCATTGATATTCATGAATTCAAAAACAAGCTGCTCCAGTGTGGAGTGTTTTTTTTTTTTTTCCTTCAAGATCCCATGTGCTTCTAAAAGAGAACTTCTCCAGGACCAAGCGCCATTGTCTGGAATTAAACACAGGGGTCACCCAAAGGGTCCAGAGCCTCTCTTTAGGCTGCAACTGTGGTTAAGCATGGGGGCTTCGAAAGAAAGCAAGACTGTCCATGGCTAGCTCTGTGTGTGAGTGAGTGTGTGTGTGTGTGGCTCTAAAATCCTCTGATTTAGGTTCCTTGAGCGTGGAATCTTTCCCAGATGTCCTTCTGAGGACCCTTACTCCTCTTTATATTGTCATCATCCATGTGGTCACAAATCCTCCCATTGCAAGAAAGGGAAAGCAGTTTTTCACAGAAAAATGTCCTCACTGATATTCTCTCTATCTTGGGCCTTGGCTAGTTTACTGCAGTGCTGATTGCTGATGAAGCCCATTAAAGCTCCTACCTCCCCTGCCCCCCATCCCCCAGGGTGGGCCCTTTCCAAGTCCCTATACCAATCTGATCTTAATAATTTTGTGTTCTTTTCTCCCAGAGGGCCCCGAATATGGGAAGAGACAAGCTGCACAAAACCTGGGTCTACCCCTGCAGGGGAGGATTAGTGGCTTCAATCTTCCCTTCCTGAAAGAGGACCCCTGACACAGAGACTGGGAAGAGGGGGGACCAAACAAGAAGGATGACAGGGCGAGATTTGTGACACAGAACTGAACTCATCCCAGATTGCTGTCTCCGTATATTTAACAGAGAAGCTGAAGGATAAGGACAGTAGGCCCTAGGGACTTTCCCTAACTGTCGCCCTACCTGCCCTCCTGCCTTACCCAAATGAGTCACCAAAACTCCTCCCATGACCTGGCCCTGCTAAAACCCTACAAAACCCAGGCCCTTGCTGCAGCCCACCCCCGTTCTCCCCTCGAAAACGTGCCCCTCTGATGCTTACTAAAGAATGGCTGGTCCTTTTTCTTTTTGTATTCTCTTTCATGTACTTTCAAAAGCAATTGTGTTTTTTCTTTGCATTACATTATTATTTTTTCATCTGCTGACAGATACTTATGTAGTAAATAAGTATGTTAAATTTTTTTTTTGGTAACGAGCGAGCGGAAAGGATTAGAGACGCTACTGGTTTTGCTCAACAACAGACCACCTAAGGGAAAGTATTGTTACCAGTCTGTGAGCCAACAGGGGCACTTGGACAAGCTCCCTCCTCCTTTCCCCTCCCAGGCCTGCTGTATAAATGGCTGCAGCTTCCTCCTTCCACTTAGCATGCAAATATGATCACACCCAGACACACAGGCCAGTAAACACAAGCTCCAGACTCCTCCAAATTGGCTGAGGCCAAAAAATATTGCTTCAATGACTGGATAAAAGCAATCGGTGTAATTTATCTCTGTAGGATTCCAGGAAGTGGCTACTGTGTTACCAGTAGCCTGATCACTGGTCCACTCTTCCCTGTCACATCACCACATCTTATTTTCATCATAGGATTAATTACATTTGGACAGTGTCCTGTGTTTGCTCATTGTTTAGACACTGTTATACCCATGAGAATAGATACCGTTTCTTTTCTATTTAATGTGGTAGATATATTTATTGAATGAATTAATCTAGCCAGTCATTTACTTACCCATGCATATTTGGGGAGGTGAGGTAGGGTACCAGGGATTGAACTCAGGGACACTCAACCTCAACCACTGAGCCACATCACCAGCTCTATTTTGTATTTTTATTTAGAGATAGGGTCTCACTGAGTTGCTTAGTGCCTTGCTTTTGCTGAGGCTGGCCTTGAACTCCTGATCCTACTGCCTCAGCCCCCCCAACTGCTGGGGTTATAGGAATGTGCCACAGCACCTGCCCTTGCATACATTTTTAAAGGATATCTATCAGTTATCTCTCTGTGTGTCCCTGGAGTCCAGACAAACAGGACAGCAGGCATGGGATCCTCATGGGATTTATAGACAGAGACCAACCTTATCACTTGACATAACTCTCACCCTCACCCCTCCAGCCCTCCGAGTCCCCAGCAAATCAGATGGTAACAACCAAGTCAGGGTAGACTCACTTACTCGGGCACTTCTCCAAAGCCTTCCAGGGGCTGTGCTTCAGCAGCGTAGATCTTGGCATAGTGTCTGGCAGTATTTTGAACACAGCATTCCTACATCACCAAACACGTGGGAAATCCAAGTGATTAAAAGGAATCAGAGTATCACCCAGTAATACCATTCCGGCAATTTTCCCAGTGTAGGTCACACCAATGGATTCCTGAACCCATCAAAGCACACATTTATTAATTTTGTTGTTGTTGTTGTTCATGCTGGGGGTCAAACACTTCACCTGAGCTACATCTCTAGTCCCTGAAGCAGTAACTATCATAACCTAGAGTTGGCCTCATACAGACGAGATCTGAGACATGAAGGGACTACCCAGGCCAAGGTCAAGGGTATTCCAAACTATCACACTTCTAAACCAGCTGAAATTCACCCCTGAACTACTGGGGCTGGCCCCTTGTCATGATGACAGACAACGCTGGGGTTGGGGGCTCCTGGTTTTCCTCTGAGATATCCCCCTGCAATTCCTTTTCTAAGTTGTAATTTGCATAGTAAATAAGGACACTTTGACAAGATTTCTGGCTCAGGAAAACCAAAGTGCATCCTGCTTCCCCCTCTTTTCTTTTCTGAGTGGGAGTCTGTGTGCTGGGGGATTTTCTATGAGTGGCCATACTCAAGATGGAAAGCTCAATGAAAGAAAAGAAAAAGAGGTGTGGGTTCAGAGAAGAAAGGAACATGATGGGAAAAGCCCCATACTTGGAGAAGAGTGGCTGCCCTCATAAGCACATGGTCTCACAGACATCACCACACCTGAATCGGGGATGGTTTATGATTGACAGGACCCGGGAGAGTCATCCAAGCTCAATCCACTAGGTTATGGGTAAAAATGTTGAAAGGGCACTTAGTCTGTGAAAGAGCTCGCCCCAACCCTCCTGACAGCTTATCAGTGCTGGTGTGGAGAGTGAACCACAGGGGTCAAGGGGAGCTGGGGAGGGGAGAAGTCAAAACTACTCTTCCCCTGCCCTCCCCTGCCCTCCCCTGCCCTCCCCTGTCCTCTCTCCCCTCTCCTCCCCTCTCCTCTCCTCCCCTCTGGCCTCAAGTTCTGCAACTCGGTGACAGAGAGAGATGGGAACTTAGCTGGAGACTTGGGCCAATCTCTCTTTGTAGTTTATAGGCCGAACCAAACTCAGGAAAGCAGGAAATAAGACAAATGCTGACCCTTTTGAATACCCCGCCCCCCTGCCTGCTCCATAAAACAAAACACTCAAGAGTTTAGCACTGATTTAATCTGTCACTGTTGCTTCCAACCTCCACCTGCCCTATCATCCCATGTCCAAGTAAATTCAAATCCCCAGGGGTCTCCTGGGGCCTCCTAGGAACAGAAATGACCATGTTCAAATCAGAATTGAAGAGGGGTTTCCAGGCATTGGTGAAGTCCCAAATATCTGGTAAGAGACCAAGAAATTCTTCCAAGAACTAAGTGACCCCCCGACCACTTGACTTTGATCTGTACTCCAAGACTAACAGGCCCCCAGCATTCAGACTTGATCCCCATCCCAAACTGAGCAACCCCCTGTATTCAGCTTTGATTTCTATACCCCCCAAAAAGAGAAACACCTTTGGGAGACACTCTCATTCATTCTGAGTCTGATTTTCATCTCAGGTTACCTTGGTCACTCTCCTACCTGAAGGGACACCTTTGGGCAGACAGACCCACCTGGGCAGCAAGTTTGTAGTTCCTTTGGATGAGCTCGTCGTTGTTTCTGGTCCCATAGGCGACTGCGTTGTGTACCTTGAGCACGCAGGCGTGACCCGGCTGGAAGACGGGTGTGAGGCCCTGCATCACGGTGCTGCGGAAGGCTTTGCGGTGGACCCCCTCCCCGAAGTGCAGCGCCTCGGTGGCAATCTGTCCACGCAGGCGGTCCCCAAAGTAGTGGTCATTGAGGAAGTCCTCTTTGAAGATGAGCTGACTAAATTCAATCTCTTCACACCCTAAAACATAGCATAGTTTGGTTGGACAGATTATCTCCCAGTCCTGATCCTTGGAGAACTAGTGTCTCCCATCATGTAAGGGCGAGGACAGGGTTGACCTGTTGAACCAAGAGGGAGGAACCACACTTAACTGCTAACAGAGACACAGCTAAAGGGAGAGATGGGGAGAGGAAGCGTCACTGAAGGAGGATGTAGGAGGATCCTGGAAGACCCCCATAGGACACATGCAAGAGGAGACCAGTTGGAGTGAAACTGGGGAGACCAGGAAAAGAATTGTAGACAGATCTGGAAATTAAAAGCAGAACCAGGCAGAAAAACTAAAAGCAAGTCAAAAAGATGGGCCAAGTCTAGTGTAGAAGAGAGGGGAAGGACAAATGACCAGATCCAATAGCGTTGTATCAATCTTTTATCATGATTGGTGCCTTTTTTGGGCATTTTTTCTAAGAATTCCCCTGCAAAAATCTTAACACTACAAATCACACACGCATACACACACTCACTCATGTACCATGTGTATATCTGTACTATACACAAAAAAGGAAGGTTTTTTGCCCCCTTAAGAGTGATACTGCCTCACTTGAGAAAGCACATGAGATATATATTAAATAGGCAAAAATATAGAACAAAATATGAAAAGAATATTCTTTGAAGACAAGTTGAAAAGAGTAGACTTATTTTGGATTTATTTGTAAAAAGAAAAGTAGAATTGTTTCCTGAGTTTCCAAGCAGCTGTTTTTTTGGAGTTGATTCTATACATGCGTCAGATGATAATGGATTCAATCAGGATGCTCCATTTTAAACTAGAGATGACCAAATCAGACTTCTGACTTGCTGATAGAGGAAATAAGATGGCTTTCAATGAAACAAGATTGTTTAGATTTTTAAAAACACCTATTTCTCAGAGCTGATAGCTTTCTATACTTTTAAAAGATAAAAGTAGTCAGGGGTCGTGTGAAAATCCCACTTTGTTTTTACACGGTATGTTTAGAGAAATGTTTTTCTCTTCTTTACAAAATATTTTCAGATCATGTGCTTCAAGAGTAGCCTGTGAGGGGTACTAGCTATTAAAACTGGAAGGAAACGGAGCCTACGCTTAAGGAATACCGGTTAATGTCTAGGCCTAGTTATTGTCAGAAAGAAAGAGGAAGGGAGGGGATTTTCAGATAGAAAACATGGGTGAATTGCTGGAGGCTGCCAGAAGGAAGAGGGTCTTCAGAAAAAGTGCTGTAAATGATTTCAAAGAGGCCATCTGAAGGCTGGGGGACCAGAATGGGCCTCTTGAGCAAAAGGACTGTGAACTGCAGATAATTAAGAAGCAGATGCAGGAAAGCCTTTGGCCTTCCTCTATTTGCCAAAATTAAAACATACATTTACAAAGACAAAAGATATCCCACCTACCCTTCTCTACCAGGGAGAATAAAGATTATGCACTATGGACAGCTTGGACCCCTGAGAGTCTGGAGATAGCCCAAGGCAATCTACATTAATCAACTTCACTTGCTAGCCCTTATCCACCATTTATTTGCCTTCTGCAAGAAGCCACTTCTAGAACTCAAAAGTCCTTCTCTCTATCTCGTCAATTCTCTAACAATTTACTGCTTCTTGTTTGAAGATGCTCTGTAAACTGGAATTCAAAATCACCTTTCAGGGAATGACTCATTTCCTGGGTGTCTCCAATGTAGACATAAAACATAACACGATAGTACACTTCAGCTTGTATTTCTCCTTATACCTATCTTTTGTTACAGGGGCCTGTTCCAACAAGACCTCAGGAGGTTGAAGAAAAATATTTTTCTTCCCCTACAACTCCTGAGTAAACTGTCCTGGATTCCAATGGGGTGTCTTCTCAGGTGAGCTCTTAGGCGAGAGTTGTAACAGGTTGCATCGTAAGTGACAGAACCAGAATAAAACTTTTAATTTATAATGAACAGTGTAGTTTCAATTTATAACAGTTAAATTTTAAAAAATAGGTGGAAAATGAATAGGAACTGCTTTTTATACAACCCAAACCTTCTCAGTTCTAGTGACATGATGAATTTCAGTTTAACAATTTGCTTCAAATACCACTTAAAGAATATGGAAAATGTTTTAATGCCATAACCCAATAAACATGAGTCATATTTGCCACATCCTGTTTTCCTTCAAAATCCCCAGATTTCTAAAATTCAGATAGAAAATTCAAAGGTTAAAAAGTTTAGGTTTATGCTTTTGAATGAATCAGTTCTGGGCTGGGAATGTAGCTCGGTGGTGGAGCTCTGGTCTAGCTTGAGGCCTGGCTTGGATACCAGTGCTGCAAACCTCCTTCCATTAAAACAACCCCCCCCCCCCCCATTAAAAATTAAATTAAAAAAAAATTAAATTTAATTAAAAAACAAAAGTTGTTCCAGACAATATACTTAGAAATAGGAAGAAAAATAAATTTTGGTACAGTATTATATGTGGTATAGTTAACAATCATGTCAGTTCCAACAGAAATGTCTACTTAACAAGGATAAACCATGAAAGAAAGAAAAAAAAAATTAGTGCTGTTCTCTGTCTCTGGAAAGCCCCGTGGGGAAAGAGCTGGCGTTTTAGCTGGAATGTGACTCCCTTTGCAGAGGAAGCAGGTTTGCACCTGCAACTTGGCAGAAACTGTGAGAGAATGTCCTGTCCAAGGGATATCTGCTGCGGCAGTGCCTGAAATGTCACTGTTCCTGAGGGCGTCACCTCAGAGCTCAGACCTCTTCTGCAGGGGGAGATGGCAGGAAGCATGCCTTATTTAGACCAGTTTCTTCACTGGGAAGGGTGACTCAAATAACAGGAACACGGAGCACCTGGGGGGGTCTCAGAAAAGACCAGAGTGTGGCAGTTCAAGTCTCAGGCTAGACAGAGCCCTCCACTGCCCTGCTCACCTGCCCACACCGCTGCCTCCAGCACCTGCGGGGGCAGTCCCTGAGAGAACCGGAAAGGCTGGAGCAGGTGCCTGTGAGTGTCAGGAGACCAAAACAATTCCCTGAGGTTCTCTGCTACACCCAGAAGTTGCAAAATCCAAACTCTAAACACACAGAGAAACCATGTGGCTACCTGCAGCCCCTGTGGCAAAGACTGCTAAGAGGGAGGGAAGAGCAAATCACGAATATATTAATAAAATGTAATGACATCATTAAGTTGGGTTACTTGTGTTTAATTTGGCCCATCATTCATTTCAGGCTTTCCCGTGAGTTTAGCTTTATTAGTTTTTTAATTAGAGACTGACTTACAAAATGCTATTTGTTTCTCCTGTAGAGAATTCAATGAATATTTAGTGAAAGATTTCTCTAAATAATAATTTTTAAAAAGGTGATTAAAAGCAATTTTCAGCTGATCCAAATAAAGGTACAGTATCAAGTGAGGCCAGGTATGGCCTCCCCAGTCTGGTGAGTCACTGAAAGTGGACGCCCTGTCAGAGGGGCAGAAGCTGGGAGCAGGGGATGTCTTCAAGGACTCTGGCTGGAGTCAGCAGGCCCTACCAGTGGCTCCACTTCCATCTGCTGGTCTGTGACATGTCCCCATTAGGGTCTCATTCTTGACTGGTGAAAGCCTTGTGACACGAGTTTATGCAAACCAAAATCAAGAATGTCATAGCAAATGTCAGATGTGAATGCCAATCAGTGCTAAGAAGCTGACTGCAACCGCGAAGCCCTCATCAAAGTCGGTTTGTTTTCTAGAGCAGAAGGAGGAAGGGAATGGATTCTTTTGCATATTTTGACTTTTGGGGATGTGAAACAGAAATGAGGGAGGATTTTAAATTAAAACACAAGTACACTACACATTGAAGACGGGGATTTAGCATGGGGGGGTTATGAAGAGCTTGCATTTAAATTTATTGTTTTGGATCAATATCACAATATTTGCTAGACCATTCCCAGCCTTGATCCAGTTTCTTGCTTTTGGCATCCTGGATCTTAGTGCACCTGGATCACTTCAATTGTCCTATTTTTACAGAGATCTCAAGTGTTTTGGTTGCTTTAAAACTCAGCACTAACAATACAACTTTAAGACGCTAACCCAATTTAATCATCCGAGTTTTACCCATATCCTCCCTAAAGCCGAACAAGGGTCCTATGCTGTGCTAAGAGTTAGTAACACGGTGGTGGGGCGGGGCACTGAGGGGTATTCGGAGCCACCTTGCTCTGGCTCCCAAGAGCTGATTGTGGGCATCTCCACCAGCTTCACAATTTGTGACCACATGGATAGAGTAAAATTAGCCGTGCAGAGGGTGTCTGCTCCATGGAAACTGGAAAAATACAGACCAGGTAGGGGTGGGCATGGGTCGACCTAGGCAGATGGGTGATTTCCCCTAAGAGGGAATACATGACAAATGTGGATTCCACCAAACTGTGGGAGACTCAATGAATGGCCCTCTGGTGGCAGAAGCGTCCAGGAGCAGCAGCTGTTAGGCTGTGGCGATGCCAGATAGGAGGCACAAAAACCCATCTTTCATTTTCATTAAATGAACGAACAGGGTTATACTCCAGCCCTCGACTCTCTCTGCTCAGCTTGTTATTCTAAAAAGGGAATCGAAGAAACAAAACATGCTGTGTAAGTGTCACAGGCTGGAGAACCCCACACAGCAGGGCTGAGCGCCAGCCAGTGTGGACGCCGACAGAAAAAGGTCAGATCCAAACTCCCCCCAACCGGTGTTCCCAGCATCCCCATCACTACAGGTCACCCTCTTTCATCAACGATGCGCCTGAGGGTATTTGCAGCCCAGTGACAGGACACAGGAGGACAGCCCTTACAATCTCATGGAAATGGCTCCTGAATCGCCCCTCGTTTCTCTGGCCATTCCTGAGCTCCCCACTGGGTTGGAAGGGTCTGTGGGGACATGCACGCTGGGAGCTGTCACGGGGAGCCCACTTCCTCTAACAGGCCAACTCACGTTGGCTTACCTTTAATATCCCCGTGACTGGAAAGCTGTCTGAGAACTAGAAGAAGACAAAGAAGAGACTGGCTTCAGTCCAGGTGTCCATTCGGGAGTGGGCGGGGCCAGGGCTTCCACCTGAGACTGAGGAGCTGCGGTTACCTTGGGCGGTGAGGTGGAACTCGGAAGCCACTTTTCCACAGCTGTTCTTGATGCAGCAGCAGTAGAGACCCTGGTCCTTCTGACTGGCTTGAACGATGGTCAAGGAAACAGCAGAGTTGTCCCCTGCGCTGTAAAGGGGGACATTAACATGCACAGACCTAGTCATTCCTAAGTCGCATTCCCCTAGTGCCCTAAAGGAGAGACAAGGTAATGATTCCCCCCTTTGTGTTCCCCCCCTCCCCCCGTGGTCCAGCGAAAGGACTAGACCCCGACGGGCTATCTGAGCATCCATTTATCGTCGGAGGACCATGACCCTTAGGTTTAACCCCCCCACACACACTCTAACTGGCAGGAGGAGTCCACAGAAACAAGCCTGAGGCTCAACTGCCAGGCTCAGCTGCAGAGCCCAGAATTACAACAGTCACCTGGGAGTTGTCAACAACACATCTGCTCAGAATTCACCTCAATTATGCACTTGAAGAAAATCTGGTGACTCCATACCCTAACCTAAATCCAGAAAACAGAGGACAAAACGGGTCCTTTGTTTTACATAAAACATCACCACTGAGGCCCACCTCCTTTTGGTGATGTCTTAAAAGACAGAGTCTTGCTGTGTTGCCCAGGCTGGTCTTGAACTCCTTAAGTGATCGTCCTGCCAAATCCTCCCTAGCAGCAGGGACTACAGGTGTGTGCCACCAGCTTGGATTTGGGGAACTCCTTTAAAATAGTGTCTTCCCCTGGCGAATACCACCCACCTATCCAATATCATTAAGTTCCAGACATCATGCTCTGAATACAAAACAGAGTGGTGGCAGGTATTGGTGCTGAAGGTGGTGACAGCTAGTGCACACTGAGCACTTGGTAGGTATTGGGCATTGTGCTAAAGCACTTAGAGGTCTATGCTCAGAATGACCCCGTAGGGAAGATGGTTACTCTTCTCATTTCACAGATGAGGACCTGAGACTTTGAGAAATTCAAGCCAAGGGCCTCCACACAGCCAAAACATCTCACTGTTACATGCACAAGCAGAGCATGCTACCACTTTCTTCTCGGTTTCCTCCACATCTACTTTTCTTTTGCTTCCTAGCCATGAGGTGAGCAGTTTGCTCTCGGACACTGCCACCCAACATACCCACCAGAAGCCAAAAGCAACAAGTCTGCCAAATATTGGACTGAAACTTCAAAAACTATGCACCAACATGAACCCTTTTTCTTCATAAGTTAATTATTTCAGGTGCTCTGTCATAGTGATGGAAAGCTGAATAACACAATAAGGCAGTGAGATATTTCATGGAGGGACTTTTAAAAGAAAAACACTCAACTAAAAGTAGGGATGAGAGATTTTACCTAATATTTGAAAACCCACCTGAAATAATATAAATGATCTCTCAATATACAAAGGAATTATCATTTCCAAACATTCTCAAGTGTTAGTGTAGAGCAGATGGGTTCAACTAAGCTATTGCCAACATGAAATGAAGCAAATACTACTAAGAATTTAAAAGACTTCAGTGCTTACTATTGACATATGCTCCCTAGAGGGAGGTGAGGTTTTTGTAAATATGCCTCAAATGGAAAAGGAACCTGGAAAATTTAAGCACCAATCAAGCCTGTTTAATTGAAAAACACTGAAAACGTTAGTTAATTGTTCTTGGCTGACAGGTTCAGGAAAAAAAGTTAAAATGAATACTTAGTACTTTTAAAATAAAGTTCTAGGGGACCTCCTTGACTTAAAAGTCAGTCTACTTCTTCTCCATTATAATAATCTTTTAAAGCCATACATAGGACAGGCAGGGTCATGGTGACCTTTTAAGCTAAGTGATTACTGGATCAATCACGTCTAATTAGATTTTCTGGGGTGATGCTGATAGAAAGGAAACCACAGCTCTCGTCTTCCATAGCTGCATTTGGGAAAGAACTTCCAGATGTTTGTTCCAAGAAGACAAATCTGATTTAACTGCACAGAAACCGTCCGATTTTCTTCCATTTTCAATCTATACACAACAAGCTGAAGGGCATGTGAACACCTCTGTGGCCCCAGGGCTGACCTGGGGCCTCCTGGAGCAGGAGTGGGTGCCTGCAGGCTGTTTGGGTTACGCTGGTTTCCTGGAGGCAGGTGATTTGTGTCTAGAATGCAGCAGAGGAAGCCTGCGTTCATCAGGTCAGCTGAACAATCATTAACTGCCAAGAGGCAGGTTCAGCCCACACCAGTGTCCACGGCAAGAATCCTCACTCATCTCTTCCTCAGGGTCCCCTCCTGTGCTGTCCTAGGGACCCAGAAACTAACTGGTCTCCCCACCTCAGAGACAGCTGCCTGTCATCCTGAGTAGCTATTACTTTTTGGTAAACTCATGGAACTTTTCTTCTTTTTATTCACCTTTGTCAGATTAATAAGAGTTTATGCAGCAGAAAACACTCATTGGCGACACACAGACACACAGAAGAGAGTTCTTTAGCCTCAAGACCACAGATCCTCAGTCAAGAATACTAGCATGTTTCCTGAGTTTAAACTGTAAGGAAAGGTCCTGTGACTTCCTAAGAACACGGAGCTCTCGGGCGGCAGAGCCCAGGTGAGAGGCCAGGTGAGATGCCCCGTTCAGGCATCTGTATGCCATTCCCACTCTTCTTGGAGCTGTGGGCAGGGGATCTTTACTTCCATTTGCCTTTTCACTTCCTATAATTTATGATTTTATTTTGTAACTACTTATTAAAAAATAAGTGTGTATCAACTGTGAAAAGCAACCAGGATCAAATACCCCACCTTCTCTGGACTTGAGCTATTGACTTTGAATCTTTTGTCCACCAGATGGTAGAATCTTCGTGAACTTCTGCAAACTGGCAGCTTAAGTTTACATTTTCAGGGTGGTCAGGGAACATCTCGGCCTGGATCTTTTTCAATACGACTGGAGCTAGAAACAAGAGAGGTGTAGGTCAGTGCGGGCAGAAGACTTTCCCATGGCATCTTATTTAATTCTCACAATTCTGAGAGACAGGAATAACACCCCCAAATTATGAATGAGGAAAATGAGTGAGAGGTGATGTGCTTGCTTGGACAGTTAGAAAGTGAGCAAACCACTCTGATGGAAAACTCCTGTTTTTCATTACTTAAAACTCCTTGGGTGAGGTCTATAGTGCCCTCTGTGAGACAGAACTTGAAAGACTTTTTTTTTTTTTTTTTTAAGGGTGGAGCAACCTAGTCTATAGGACCTGGGCTAAATAAAGATGCTTTTAAATAATTACCAGGTGATCCAGGTCAAAATTAGATCCAGAGATTAGGAAGTAGAATAAAATATGGACTACTCAGGTAACTGCAGTTAAGTCTCCAAATGTAAAAGACAATTCAAGAATAAATTATTTGTTGAAAAATGCTCGATCCTCAAAGCTGTCTTTGCTAAAGATGGCCTATGGACTGGAGTGATGTGGACATTGCTCTCACTCTCAAAAGAGGTGTCTACTTGAATGAAACAGGAACCAAAAGGAAATGATTTCAGGGGCTGGAATGAGACCTTTAAATATCATCTTTTATTTTTATTGGTGAGGAGCGCAGAGCCTGACCTGCAAATGTGTAGTTAGTCAGGGAAGCCACTGGGTGGCAACATAGACGCCAGAACACCCGGAGGACAGAGTCAGATGCGCGAGATGATTGGAAACGTGCTCTGCAGCTTCAGGAACAAATGTTACAAACATTATATGATCCACAGGCAAGCCAAAAGTATCCCTCGGGAGGCTTTGTTTACTCCTGTTCCACTCCAGTGAAGAGTGTTGTGTTGTGTTAAATGAGCTTCCCATTTTTCCTGGGCCCCCCGCAGACACTTGGCTATAAGAACGCATATTTTAAAGCTAACTATGTGCCCAGGAAGCGGCAACGGGCTGGTTGGTAACAAATCCCTCAACCAGAGAGTAGCTGAGACTACTAACAACATGACTGGAGCCAAGTGCGTCATCATCCAGAGAGAAAACACTCCACGTCCTTACTGATGGCAAATCTCATTTGGTTCTTTGGGCTCTGCAGCTCCTGCCCAAGTGGAGGCTGTTCCAGGGCACAGCCTCAGATGCTAGACCCAGGTCTTGACCAACTCACCTCCACCTGGGCTATTCCCTTGAAGTCCCTTCCACGTGGTGGCAATCTTCCTGGGCCATCTGGGGACACCTACATGTTCTGAAGGCTGTTTTAAGTGTTGAAGACGAAAAAAGTGGGATGGTGGAGAGAAGGGCCTTAAATGGGTATAGAACTGAAGGGTGGGCTCTGGGAGACAGGAAACTGGTTCAGCAAGGAGCTTGGGGGCCTTGGGAAGGATTGTCTGAGTGTGAGAGAAGAGCACTGCAGCCAAATGAGTCAGAGGAGGCCCAGGAGCGTGGCTGTTTATCAAGTGTTGAGCAAACACCACACAGAAGTCCTCTGGTGGACCTGAGGCTTCCACTGTCCTGAGGATGCCTCGAAAAGGTTACCCGGCCTTTGTTTTCTTTCTTTCAGAATCATCCAAGTCCTTCCCCACCCCCTGCCACACGCACACTTCCAACTCCTAGCCCACCAGGTCACTGACGGGGGGCACTGAATCTGGGCTGCTCCAGGGGAGGGGAGGGTGAGCTTCAGACTGTGGGTACACAGGCAAGGTGTCACCACAGGTCTAAAGGGCAATACTGAGCAGAGATGAAGACTCTGCACCAGGCAGAATGGGAACTTCTTAGCCTGGTGTCTTCCTAGTGGTGACATTAAAAAAAAAAAAATGAAATTGCTGTACCTTACCCTGGAAAGACAAAACTAAAAATCTTTTGAGTATGTGTTGGTGGAGTAGGTTCTAAAGAAGGCATATTTAGAATCCGTGATGGACAGACAACTCGAAGGTAACAAGTTACAAGGAAGAGGCAGACCATTGTTGAAGGGAAGCCTATACAATCTGCCATGCCAAGTGGTAAGTGCCAGAAGAGAATCATCTCTCCTGTCACTTGTCCTTGTCTTTGTTGCTTCATATGGATTAGGGCACACGGAAGATTCTTATTGAATAAGTACTCGCTGCACTAATTATCACAAGTAATTGGGGTCACTGTATAAAACAGTATGTCCTTAATAAATGAATAGTCAGGCAGTTGTAGACCAAGCCAGGTAAGGGCTCTTTCAGAGAAATGGCCTCGTGCTTGTTTGTAGTTAGGGCCAGAAGCTGGAAGGACCGAGGCACTGTCCTACCTTTCCCTGAAAAGAAAAGACCCACCCAACAGGCATCTCCCCCACCACTGGGGAAGGACATAGGATCAGAGCCTACCTGGGTGTGAGCAAAGCCCTCCTGGGACTCAAGAAGAATTCAGGGGAGAGTGCCCTGAATGCTCCCTCACCAGAGGCTCCCCTTTCCGTGAGGCCTGGTGTTCCTCAGAGAAGAGAGGCTGTGCATTAGGAAGCACTCTTTCTTCTGATACTCAGTTGGTATCGAGTCAGACACAATGACCCTGTGTCTGAACGAAGTTCTGAATTTATTTCATGGGCATTTGCTTCATGTTCCTTTGCACTTGTATGTGGGGATGAGTCCTATTATCAGCACCCCCATTTGATAGGTGAGGAAAGCGAGGTTTCCAGAGGCTGAGGCATTTGTCCAAGGCTGCCCAGTTCCTGGGAGAAGCCGGACTTGAACCCAAGCAACCCAGCTCCTAATCTGGGCCCTAAACCACCTCATCACAGCTCCCTCCCACATGGGCCCAAACACCTGCAAACATCCCAAATCTCATTTGCCTCTTCATGGTCCCCACAGCCCTGGGGGCATTGGTAATGGTCCTTCACTGCCACATTGGGTTGGTCTGGTCTGGAAAAGTGTTTGTGTCTATCTCAAGGTCTCTTCAGGCCCCTGAGCCTGTGGCCCACTGCCCTTGGTCCCAGCTCGGCTAGCACTGTGCCTTTGAGAATGTGGCCCACCCTGTCATCAGCCCTCGGTGCTTGGGGTGGCGATGCTGGGCTCAAACTCTCCCACAGCACGGCTCTCGGCATCACCCTTCCTTCCACAGGCAACTTGAATAGTTGTGGTCAAGAATCCCAAATAAAATTTTTCCCTCTAGGCTGAAACCACTTCTGAGATTTGTTTTTAAAAAGCATCGCTTCTTTCCCTTTCATATATTTCAAAATATGCACTAAGAAGCTGTTGGAGACCCCCTCTCTTCAGAAGGCAGTTTCTTCTGCCATCTTTTCAGAACCAGGTCTGAGAAGGTCTGAGAAAAGAAAAGCTCGGGCCTCAGGGTCAGAGGACCCAGGCATAGTGAGGACCAAATTTCTCCTCCAGGTCACCTGGGCCAGAGCTCTGCCCCCTGCCTGGGCACTTGTGCTCTGGCTCTCCGTACAGTTTTCCCCGCTGACTTCTGCACTGTGTGTGGAAGGGAAGAGGCATTTGAAATAAAAGAGGCCCGTTTCAGGGTCTGGAATGGAATTGGGGGCTAAAGTGATACTATAACTGCAATTACAAGGGCTTTTGAGGTTCAAGTGGCTTGAAATCTGGAACTCAGCCACCAGAGGTTAGAGGAGGTTAAGTTCAGAGAGCGCGAGGGTGAGTTGGAAAGAAATTTTATACTCATATTTGGAAGAAAACCAAGGTTAAGTTAAGCCATTTTGAGTGAACATCAGTGATTAAAGAGGAGAATCCCAAAAATGCCACTGGAATACTTCTTTCTATATATCCTGCTGTGTTCTTTTTAATTATACTAATTAGCCACATTGTTTATCTTTTTAGATAATTTTTAAAGGATAACTAAAAATAGAAAGGGATTGTAATCATGCTCCCTCAATCAAACACACCTAGAGCAGCCTTTCTCAGCCCTTCTCAGGTGTGCCGCCCTGTCCCCCATCACCTGGGAACTTGGTAGGAGTGCAGATTCTTGAGCCCACCTCCCCATGAACACTGCATCAGAACTCTGGTGTGGGACCAGGAAATCTGGGTTGTAACAAGCCCTCCAGGGATCCTGATGCCTGGTCAAGTTTGAGACCCACAGGCCTGCGTCCCAAGCCACTTGTCCACACCATGGCATCAATGGCCACCTGCCGGATGCTTATCTGAATTGCTAAGGGCTCAAGAGGACACAGGAACTTCACACCTCATCTTACAAACCCAAACTTCAACAATGAAGAAAAAAAAAAGCTACAGAGCCTCACCTTTTCCTTCTCTTTTGCAAGCTACCTTTTTCGGGTCTTTTTTCTCGTCTGAGCATGATAAGGATTTTTCGAGCTTAGGGATCTTTTTAAGAAGACTCAAGTTCTTTCTGACATTTTCCTTCTCTTCCAATCTCAGTCTCAGGGCTGCCACCCTGGACAGAATTTTCTTCTTTACTCCCTCAGCTAAATGTCCACTGCTCGAGGTCTCCTGCTGCTTCCTGACCTCCTCCGACGTGACCACTGCTGGATGGGTCCCTGGTAATTTGCCAGCCTGGGCAGCCACGCGGCTGGGCTTCTTCACGCCCGGCTTCTCCTCCCTGCCCAAGTGGAAGCCCTTCTGCCACAGGTCCTGCAGGAACTCAGAGGAGTTCTCTGACTCACATTCTCCAGAAATGAAAGCCAAAGTCATCTGGGGGGAGCCAGATGAGCCTGAGGGTTTGGTTTCCCCAATTTGAGGCTCTTCTGTTTTCAGTTCCTCAATCTGAGAGCTGAGTGAAGAGTGAGAGATGGTTCCTTCAGGAGGTGAAGCACAAGGTGACAGCGTAAGATCACTGGAGAAGGGCACACATTTCCCACACTCGTTCTCCATAGTTCCCCTTTCCTTTGAGTCAGAAAATATGTACTGATGGTTTCTGGGTTCAAAAACATCATTTTCAGGTTCATCATAAACTGTGGAGTTGTGAGCATCAACCCCAACAGGTGCATGTGTTATTGAAAGACAACCAGAAAGAGGTGAAGTGGGGGAAATAAATTTGGCTGTGTCCTTTTGACCTTGTTCTGCCT